CTGAGGAAGTCAATCATTCTCATTTAATGATCAGGATGGGCTATTGACACACTCCTCTATCAGTTTTGTAACTATTTTAATCGTTTTAATTTACATTAAATTAATCCTTCCTCCTCATCCGAACACCTGCTTGATCTCGTCTTTTCTTCCTTTCGTATCACTTTCTATTTTGTTCTGAAAGATACCGCACCACGTTTGGATCTCAGAATTGAACACACTGAAACTGATATAACAATCATTAGAAAGTCTAAAATTATCCTTGCAACGTATTCTAAATGAATTTATTTTATTACAATTTTATAATAAAAGGTTTATTCCCGTTAATAAATGAATAATAATAATGTTATGAATTTGGTTACGTCGAACTCGGATATTTTTTCTCGAAGTCCCCCCTCGCCATTTAAATTCAATCAGCGTTCGGGGGAACGGTATGGGGTAGATTCCAGATTTCGCGGCGACGCGTAATGAAATTTCACCCGGTCGCGTGAACGGCAAAACCATCGCCATTATGCGCGTTTTACGTGTCGCACGGCTAATAAAGCCGGATAGATGCGAGCAGTAAAAAGGCCCGAGTAAACGCGCCACCGGGTCTGATCGGCCGTTCGACGACGTTCACGGTCGAGCTTTTTCACCGCGTCGCGTGTCTCTGTTCTTTCTTTTTTCCTCACCTACCCCATAGTCGGGGCGACGCTTCGTTCGAGCGGAATGCACGCCTAATGTCGCGCCAGCCACGGTAATAATGTCGCCGCGCGTAAAAGATTTACTCGCCGATACGCGCGTCGGGGGTTGACTGTTCGAAAGCGTGGCGAAACGAGCCCGGGGATGACGAGAACGGGTCGGTGATAAAAACCAGGGAAACACGCCGATGCGGGCCAAGTAACCGGTGATCCAGACCCGCCAAATTGGATTTCCTTTAAAGGATTTACGGAGTACTCGACCCCTGCGACGGTCCCGTGAAATGCTCCAGCTTATTCGCGCCATTCAACTGAAAGAATTTCCACGTCCTTCGAGTATCGCGGTTTCTCGCCACCCTTTTGGATGTAACACTCTGGTGTTAGGTCTCTCAGAAATCGGTGGAAATATCAATTTTGATTTTTTGTGTCTTCGATTTTTTTTTTTAATTATTTAGATAAATTTACTGAAACTACACAATTGGAATATTTGTCCTTGCCTTTGTAATTATGCGCCATTTAAAAGATTGTTCCAGTAAATATTATTCAGTTTAATAGAAACTATTTAATTAACGAAATAATATATTCCTCTTCAACGTGACCCCCAGATCGATTTCCTCCTTTTATAAATCGTTCTGCGCAAGCAGTCAAACTCCCAATGATCTCCTCGTTTATTAGAGGTACAATTTTATAGTGGAAATACTAAAAAATCTGGAAACTTCTCAAGAAAAATCACTTACGGTACTCGAACGTTTTAACGAGGGATCGTTTCGCGACGAAAGTGCTTTCTTTTTTTTATCTCGGTTCGAAGAAATTTCCGGCCAAAATACGAGACCGTATACGGGAAGGAATAAAAAAGTAAACATTCGCTGTAAACATAGGTCCATAAACGGTTTATGACAAAGTGGTAACGGGAACGCGAAACGCGAAGAGAACGATCTAGCGGCTCCGTTCTCGGTTTACTACTCGCGGGTAAGAACAGAGCCAAAGTATTCGGAATTAGCTCTGCCCCACGTTGGCCTCGCGAGTAAAGATTTTCAAATATTTGTGTACCTTATTCCAGAATTTATTGACCGAATCGGTTTACGATAGAATCCCTATTATCCGGCGCACTCCATTATCCAGACGTTCTATTATCCGGACGCTTGTTCTTCGACATTGTATTCCACCGCGGAGATACGTTCACCACGGTTCTATGCACACAGTTTCCCATGAATTTTATAGCACAGGCGCGAGATAATAGCCGGTTCGACTCGATAAAAAGGATAATTTGGCCGATGATGGTATTTAACCGAGACCCTGTATCCCCTGAACAACGATGCTGTTTATCAAAGTAATTTTATACACAGATTACGTCGAATCGAAGCACCGAACCGACCTTCCTCGAACTTTCGAACATTAATAACCCAGAATTCGCTTAATCAGTCAGAAAAACATTGCGCGCCTTCGAAAACTCGACTACGTTCTTCCGGTGGATGAAACTGAATCGTCGAAGTGGTTAAACGTATAAACGCGAGATTCGATCGTGAAAAATACGCGATGAGGCGAAACGTTCGAATCGGCCAGTGGGGGAGGGAGGGTCGAAAACGTCGAAACACGCGAAAACGCGGTGTACCGTTTTCGAAAAACAATTCGAACGAGGCCGACGATTCGGCGGGGGAGGAAGGAAGCGACGCGTAGCGATCTGTGAAATTCGGCCCGTCTAATTTAATTCACCCCCCGTCCATCCCCTCCCCCCCTATTCGTGCAGTTTTTCGATCATCCGTGAACACCCGAGGGGATTCGCTGTCGCGTCGGAACAACGGCGCGGAACGTTTCGCGCGTTTTAACCGTCCTCGTTTAGCGTCGACGTTCATCCCCGCGAAGCTTCGATTGAAAATTATAGAAAGCGCCGAACAATAGCCCGCGCGCCGCGTGTCGAAACACCCGATAAAACGGCGGAGATTCGCGGGAAACGTACCCCTTTATTTCGCGGATAAACATTTTGTCGCGGAACGCTTTTTTGATCGCGTTATCCGTTCCAACGGGGCTCCCTTTTTCGCCGTCCATTTTCTTCTCTGCTGCGCGGAGAACGTGACCAAATTCACGGTACCAACTAGGACCGGGGCAATTCCGCGCGAAAAAGTGAAAAGGGAATTCTGGAACGAATGTTTTTTTTTTTTTACCGTTTAACCTTGTTTCGGAGAAAATCGACTTGTAAAATTCGTGGAGTCCACCGTGTCTGAACGTTGGTCGTTGTTTCTATTTGATTTGGTACTTGCAACGATTGCATTGAATTGTCTAGGTTTAACTAGTGAAAGTATCGTATAATATGATAGTTTGGAACTGATATTAAACTAAAGAAACCCAAAGATACACCTCGTTTAACCATTATTAGGTATTTCCACTTGTTTCGATGTTTCCAATGGTTATATCTATTTCATTTAATTTTAACTAGAAATTTTAGAACAAATCTTCATCTTCACTGTCGAGAAAATCGACTCGAAAGGTACTGTGTGAGATTAGAATTTATTTTCACTTATTTCGGTGTTTCTGATGATCATATCCGTATCATTCGGTTTTAACTAGTCGAAAGACAGTAACGCAATTTTCGAGTACGTTTCCCGATCTCGTAAAACGGTAATGGTAATAAATGCCGGGCATAAACATCGAGGAGGAAGCAAAAGACGTTCTCAGGTTGGGAAACTCATGGTTCTGACAACGGTGGAAAAGAGGAAAATAAGAAAGGGGTCTATCGTCATAAATCAAGCGAACGGTAGGCAAGAATCGAAGCGAAATAAATAAAAGGGTAACGGGAGTAAGTTCGGGATACGCGATTCTGTTCGTTTCTCGATACAATGGCGATAGCATGTCGAAAGATCCCGGATGCTGGCTTGACAAATGCCCCGAAGAAATAAGCTTCTACCACCCCTACGTCTCTACTTCTCTCTCTTATTTTTGTCCACGCATTTTCCAAGTTTCGTTATCGTTCGCTTTGCACGATTGATTCGGATAGAATTTTCCTGTCTCCGTATAATCAACCATTTCGGTGGAAATAGACTGGGGGAGCTCGATAAGTTTGGTTCTTTTGTAGTTAGTCGTCTTGGAGTCTGAATTTTATTATTTCGCGTCCCAGCACACGGATTCTCATCGAATTGTGTGGAAAAACCGTCGTATTTTCATGTACGAAGTATGCAAGGAAAACTTGAAATTATTTCGAAGAATCTGACCTCTGGAAACACTATGCTGTATAGAGTATGCATGAAATTCGATGGATCCATCAACGACACGCCAATTTGATTAACATGCCCGCATCCAATTGCACCGGCGACTTCATTGCTAATTACCGAAGTAATTAATAAACAAAATTTCTACTTTACGAAATTGGTCACCAGCTATATTTGACTCATTAATTTCAGCCATCCATTACGTGCATTCGATTTAATCTGCTCATTGTGACGGCTAAATTTCGATTCGTAATCGGTGGTATCGATTCAGCGTAATTTCAACTATCTTCGACCCAACAATACGAACAAATCTTACAAATTTCCACGCAGAAGACGTCACAGTATCCCTGAAAAAATCAACGCATTTCACGGAAGAGCATTTAAGTTCAAACGTCCGTCCCCGTTAACGAAAAAATCCGTTTATTATTCGCGCTACGGTGTCCCGTCACCGAGGGTTGGCGTTCGCGATTCGTCGACGGTAATCGAAGTTTAATTAGACGCCTAGCAAACACGTTTCGCCCCGTTGCAATTTGTAATTGATGAACTGCGAATAGACTAACCCTGCAAGGTGTTCCCCGGTCAAGCCTGTCGTTAATGTCGCCCGCGAGAAAAACGAGATCTATCTGGATCAAGTGCTCTCGCCCCGGTGATTTATTATACACGTCAGTCCGGATAACTTTCGCGAAGTAACCTCGTTCGCAAAGTGCCACCTCCCCCCTCCTATCGCGTTCCTCCTCGTCCACCCCCGACCCCTGTCCTCCCTCTGACACACCTTCCAACCGTCAACTCTCCGTTGTCGAAGGTTCTCCCGCGGTATTCAGCGCCGACGATCGAATCTCGGAGCTGTCAGAAAAGAAATCCATCGATCTTGGTACCCTCGATCACGGTTCACGCCACTTGAGACTCGATTTCACTCGTGGGTCACCACCGGGATGGATCTTTACCTCCTCCGGGACCCCGAGTACCGAAACTGTTTCGGGACGCCGACCGTAATTTATTAAAAAATAAGCTTAAATTAAAATTACGGCTGGGTGGTCGTACGAGAATTCTGGAACCTATCGTTTCGATGTCTCTCGAGTAAATTTTCTTCCTGCTAATCAGAATATTTGTTTCTTTATTTCAGCTCGTATGGAGGAGGAACGAGGAGCATCCAATGCACAGATTTTGTGGTCAGCTTGTCAGGCTTTGGCACGAGCCGTTAAATCTGCGCCACCCGGTGCGTGCGTGGACAAGACCATCAGGCCCTTGGAACCGGAAATCAAAGCAGTCACTAAGGCAGCACGTAAGCAATCAATTTCTCCTGTCGGTTATTACAGAAATTCCTAAATAAAATTGTCATTTTTATAACGATCCAAAGAAGGATCGAAACGAGCTTGGAAAAACGTAAGCACGATCGTGAGATTTTTCCTAGACGATGATCCTCCAGGCTTTTGTACGCGTTTAACGGACCGTTTAATTGGATATCGGTGAAATCACGCGTATTACCAGTATCGTTATCGTCCGCGCGGAAAATGTTTCCGCGCGTTTGATAGAATGCGTTCCCGCGATCTGTCCATTAACACGACCGCAGATTATTATTAAGTGATATTAATACTGTTACGATTACGAGTCCGTATCGAGAACGAAGCATCGAATTTGCGGTAACCGCAACGATAATCTCGCCCCGTCGCGATACAATGCCAATCTTTGGAAGGATTAAACTCGCAAACGCGGAAGTATCGATATCGGACTTCCGCGTGGCCAGAATGCTAAAATGTTCGACGGTTCATTGGATACAAAAGCTTCGAATGTATCGCGCTATAGACACTCCGGGTACATCGTACAAACGTTTCGCGAATAAACAGGAGTAACGCGCCGCGACTCGTCGTTTTCAAGTTACTTTTTTCACCCACGATCAAATACTGCCTTCCTCGACAGAGGAAAATAATTTCATTGGATATTATAACGCTCGCCTGTTCGGCAAATCCATTTATTTATTGGGTCGTAGCGCAAATGAGTACGGTTATATTCGATACACTTTTCTATATTATTAACCGAGCACAGAATCGCGTCGATTATACAATCTTCGTTATTATTGACGACCACTTAAAAAGCAATCGATCGAAACGACTCTTTGTGATGTCTTCGGGTTTATTAACTCGCGACTGGTGAACGCTGAAAAGAATAAACGATCCGTTTTAGTGGGTCGAGAAACTTTGGGGCAATCAACGAGTTAACGTCGGAATCGTTTTTTCCGCTTCCGGGGAGCCGGAGAACTGTTTAATTCATTCCGACCAGGGTCGGCAGTTAATGAGTTTTCGCGGCGTAATGGCGACATTACCACTCCCGAATATTCATCGCCTTTTCGGAGCCAACGGGACACGCATCGCGTAGATTCACACGTTTTCCTTTCGATGCCTGTCCGTTCGAACGATAAAAACCGTATAAATTTTTCTCCAGCGACGCGATCCATCGCGGAGTGAAATACGATCGCGAGTTTTCCGACGAACGAGACGCTTTCGTTCCGAATACGTTAAAAATTCTGTCGGATTCTTTCGACATTTTTCAAGTCAGCGTTCATCTTTTTATTGCCCCATTTGCGTTGTATAATGGAAATGCGAAGATTCGTTGGGCAACTGGACGATACCGGATCGAGATATTAGAGCAATCTTTCTTTTATTAAAATGTACTTTAAATAAAAATAGTTGTATCAATTTTCCATTAATTTTAAGAATACGTGCGATTGAAGTGTCTCTTAGAATTTTTTTAACGGCTGGACGAAACTTTGAAGGGTAGTTTCACCCCTTGAACTTGAGTTATTGCTGCTGAGAAAAACACGTGTCCCTTATTTATGGCCACCGTGCAAACTTGCAAAGTTTAATCAAAACAGGGAGTGAGATCGCCCTACGAGTGTTCTTTACAAGTATCGTACATCAAAATTTTTGTCACTCTAAACCACTGAAGTTGCTAAATTCTTGACTACTCTCTACAATCAAAATAAAATCAGTCTTTTCAATTTCGAAAGTGCAAAAAGACCATTAGACGACCATTGATCTAAAGAGACGCTGGAAAATTGTTATTCTATTGCAAAATCACCGATTTCCCGATTGTTCGTCGAAACGAAGGACAATAATGGTCCGTGATAGAAAAGATTTATGGTGATTTTAATGTATTATTATTATCTGGCACGGATGTTTTACGGTCGCATAAATTCTGGGACGGCGACGACGCGCGAATTTTAATATCTGGTAATTCGAAAAGGGGCGAAATATTGCCGCGAGATAAATAAAGTGCGGTTGAAACGAATGGCTCGTTGAGTTTCGCGTGTTTGTTATATCGGCTCGTCTTCGCTGGGAGCAAGAGGAACTTCCGGGTCTGTTTAACTTCCAACGACGCGATCTTAATCTTCCCTAATCGTGCCGGCAATTTATTTCCGAACAATTGGATTTAATAACGGTGAATAATTCGTGGGAGGGAAATGGTTACATTAATTCTTCCCGATCCCTTAATCCAGCGCGATTTCTTACGAGTACTTGGCAATGCTTAATAATTTCTCCGCGGTTTCCGATAAACCTGAATAATTATTTCATAATCCGTTCCCGATGTATCTTACGTTTAATAACGATCTCCGCCGAAAAGAAACAAATTACAGACTCCATTTACTATTTCTACTCGACGTTCTTAACCAGCTATTTTTTAAATTTTTTGAATTTTTATCGTACGATCCAATGGAGGCCATTATAGTGTTTATTGTTTTAAAAAGATTCGACCTTTTCAATAATTCTACCGTTACGTTCGATGATAATTTTCGAACAAAATTGAAAACGAACGACGACCTGGAAATAATATTTAGCTTTTTGACGAATGCGAAGTGTGCTTTATAAAATATTTTCGAGCAATAAATATCGCGAGGGGCAAAAGAAGGATGGAAAAAATGAGCGCGCGAAACAAAAAGAGGAACAGATACGTTAGTCGAATAATTCACGGACACTTTACGCTATTAACTCGGCGTGCAGCTGCATAATTAATGCACCTGACAAGGAGAGTGCAACCCTCGAAATGCTCGCCCCCGGAGCCTTTACGTACGCTCGTCCAGCGATTAAGTCGTAAATCTTGGACGATTTTCCAGCCCCGGAACCACCTTCGTCCCTTTCTTCGTCCGTGTCCCTCCCTCACCGCGGAATTAAAACGATTCCCGACGTTGTTGGTAATTTTTCACGCGAAACCTGCATGAAAGCCTCTTCAACAAAGCGATAAACGCAGAGTGCATCGCGATGACCGACGCAATCGAGAAAGAGACCATATTTTCCCGTTTGATTTTAATTTTTAAAAACTACACGCACGGTATCCATAATATTTTTGCAATTTATTAACGAAGTAATGCATTTCGTATCATCGGGAAATTTAATAACGGATGTTCCAATCGCGATTTTACCGGTTACAATTTTAAATCGTGCTTAAAAAGAATACGTATTCTATTTATTCGTTCGTCCATTATTCTACGAGGTAAACGTTCCGTTGTGAAATAAAACATTTACGTTTCCAGTAACCTCGTCGAAATTCATGGATTCTATCCGTATTTATTTTCTAGCTCCCTTAACGTGGGGGTTTTGTGTACCGCGTATGAGTGACGTGGCAGACAATGTGTTTCAAAATGGTGAATGCCCGTTGCTCGCGTCGAACCCTTCGATTCACAGACAGCAGTCGACACCGCGAATCGTGAATAATTCACGGAATCGTAACGGGCCGCGTCACGCGCGCAAATAGATAAATTTCAGAACGCGACGTACGCGGGAAAGTGTTTAAAATTCCTCCGTTCATTTATCACGTTTCGTAGCCGCGCGTTTCTCGCAAAATTGCAAAGTAATGTATTCCGGCGACGACACAGCATCTGGTGTAATGCAATTTGTTCGAAAAGGGGCAGGGGAAGGAGGCGGCCCCGGTATTGTTCGATGTTAATCAATTTTGCGCGCCAGATATTTCGGTTCGTTAAAATTTGAACGCCCGCCCTTTATTCTTTGGCGTTAATTCCTATTAATTACGCGAACGATCGTATCCACGCACCCTTGAATGAATTCCGCGATGAAAACTCCCCGTCCGGACAGAAGATTTATACGTTTCTCACTTCCGTTTCTATGGTAATCACCGAAGTTTCTCGGGGATACAATTCATTTCCCAGAAATAAATAATAAACTTTTATTAAATTAGTCATCAAGCATAGTATAATACTAGCTCAAATTTTAGTTGTTTCAACTGGCCGTGTATTTAAAAAATACTCGACATTGTTTACCTCCCGAGAAGTTATGATTTTATTGTATATTCTAACATAAATGTACTCAAAGGTACCAGAATTTATTTAACTCTTAGTTAAATGTACATTCGGATACCTCTCTGTGTTCCAGAGTTCATTATTTTATCAGAAATAATAATTTCAGTAGTATGGATCGATAACTAAGTCGACACTTCTCTGACCAGTCGTTTACCTGTACTACTTGAATTTTTCGACAAAATTAAAAAATTTCAAATCGTTCTGCAAAAATTATTTTTGGTTGCAGGGGTTAATTACAATCGTTTTTGGTAAATAGACATACCCCTAAAATCCTACCCACTTTCGAGAAAAAAATTCGAGTAGATATTCAAATTTTTAGACGAAATTAAAAAATTTCAAATCATACTAAAAAAATTATGTTTAGTTACAGGGGACAATTACAAATATTTTTAGTGAATAGACATACCCCGAATTCCTACGCACTTTTGAGAAAAAAATTCTTTTCCGAAAGTATAATGTATGGCCAGAAATGTACCCTGGAAATTTCATGCGTTCGTTTAAAAAATCATAATTCCTGTATAGTCCGAGTCTCTCACTGACCTCTCCGGAGCGTTATAATTTCATCAATCGCTGAAAATTTAAATATTACGCCGACGATAAATCTTCCGTTGGTCCTGAATTTTCGAACACGTGTGTAAATCTCCCAATGCGTTTTTTCATCTTATGTTTCCAGCGAAGCAGGATCCTCTGGTGCTAGCAGCCATCCAAGGCATTCCCGAGGAAGCTGCGAAGAGGGGAGTGTTCCCTGAGGACGTTCTTCGAGCTAGGTTCCTCAAGGTAACATTACACTGACCAATCTCCTCCCATTTCAAGAAATATTATCCTCGAATACTTCAAAGAGACGCAACAGACGTTTAAAAATTCTTTCTACCATCTTCTGCACTCGAATCGAAATTTAAAAAATAGAAAAAATTGTTGTGTGTTTGGAATAAATGCAGTTTGCTTTATGATTGGACGCTAAACTCGAGACGTGTTTCTAAATTTTCGAGATGGAAATGCTTTCAGGTGGAAGAGGTCGCGAGACGATTGGCCATGGTACCCGAGGAGGGAGCAGCCTTGCCTGTCTATTTCCTCAGCTACCTTCAGAACTTCCTGATGATCAAAAACGCGAGCGCCATACCTCAGAGCGAGCTCGAGGACAAGCCCATCGACGTCCAGTCCCTTAACACGTACGACATACTTCATCGAGCCAGGTGAGAATTCTGCTCAAACGACATATTCGAAACACTCACGTCCTCCGGGGATGCACTTCGCCCCATCCTGTTATTTTCCATCGAATTTTCAAGCCTGCAATTTCGCCCGTTCTCGCCCACGTTCAGGAAAATTAGCGATCATTCCATGTTTCTGTTCCGTTCCCACGTTTACCGGCGTATTAATCAATTTTCGATATCCGACGCTCCGGGGTTTTTGCTCGATTTTTAAAACCTACAATGCCGTCACATTTTTATTCGTTTGTCTAATTTATGAGGACTTTAATTACATTTCATTCTCGCGCTTTCGATTGCATTATTTCAGGCTGAACATGTTTTTATCCAAAAAATTTTAATAGTTCAATAAGCCATTATATTTTTAGAACACGCCGTTGAAAATTAATTTAGAGGAAAAAATATTGATTCTATCATTACACGAATATCGGTTTACCAATTTACAGAGTCGCAGGGTTCTCGATTTTGCAACGCGGCTGCTTGAAAAACGCTGGCCTCAAACGCCCGGGTAATATTTGCTAAAATGTAAAAGTTATCTCGAGAAATATTCGCGCCGCTTAACGCCCTCGAAAAGGCCAAACTTGGAGCGGCTGAATGTCGCTGGTCCACGTTTTCGTGTCCCCTATAGAGACCTCTAATTTACTTCGTGTACATGCAGTTAACGTCGCGACCACGGTATGACGTTGCAGGAACTCTCGTGCAAACGAGCCTTAATGCTGATAATACGGCGGGGGCGTGTTTCGTCGCGCGGCAATTACCAACTCGGAGATAACGTTGCCCCGCGGGGCGTCGTACGTAAATTTAAAAACGTCCCGGCGACACTTTCGCGGTTCCCTCGGACTCGGAATTCTGTTTGTTAATCGCGCGATTGGAAACGCATTCGTCGTGTTATAGGGTGTATACCTTTGGTGTGAATATTCCGGCCTAGGGTCAAACGGAGGCGGTGAAATGTCATGGAAATAGGTCATCGAATTCCTCTTTGCATCAGCTACAATCTGGAAACACATCCCCCTCAACTTTTTCATCGATCAGCTAACCGATAGAAATCTGTGGCTGTTGACCAATGATCCGTGACACGAGCATCGGTGTACCGGGGAGCCAGAGAGAATGCCCCTAGGTGGAATTCAAATTTAGCGATCAGAATGTTTGAGAAAGGTTATTTCACCGTTGGTCAGCATTTCCAATCCCATACAATAATCCACGGCCCGATCATTAGCGCAATACCGATCTGCAGAAATTGTCTCTGGTTAGAATTTTGGATTCTTTTATTATTAATCGACATTTCTTGTCACGCTGATCCTTCAAGAATTGATACAATGGTCGTGGCCAGAAAAATCTTCTCATTGCTCGAGTCAATTAACAATATATATTTATCAACTTGTTCCTTTGTGGTGAAAAAGAAACGTTGGATTGCATCATTCATATCTCAGTTTATCTTCTCTACTAATATTTAATTTTTTCCCTAGCTCGAGCAAAATTTCTACACAAAATCTGGCGATTCTATCGTAAAACAGAGGCACTGTATCATCGTGTCGTGCAACTTTTTAGCGAAACGACAATGCATGAACGGAATCATCTTACAAAACTGCAACAATGCCACGGCGGTTTCAAAGAGCCAACGAAGCCGCGAACGTGTCGTTGGACAAAGATTCGACGACAATGGCATCATCAAATCCCACACCTGATCGTAAGAACCAACAATCGCGCGACAGTCAACAAACAAGCCGCGAGACTCCGTCCTACGTCCCCAGGAAAATTAATTTCCTCGCTCGCGGCTCGCCGCTTTTATTCCTCCGACGCGGTGCGCCGTTCGCTATCTAATTAGCAGACGTTGCACGCGCGATTCAATCAACATCAGGTTTCCCCGATGCGATGACCCGGCTTTATGGCTCGCGAAACGACGATGAAACATAATCACGATCGCGCCGGGTGACGGTCGTTAATGAGAGTCGCCATAATCCGTTACCGGGACGACGTGTAGGCGACCGTTTCCCAACGCACGATCCTTAAGCTGTTCTCCCACACGAAAGACGCGATAAAATGACAGCTGGGGAACCACTAAGTTGTTCAAAAATTATTCAATTGGACTATTCATTGAACAAAAGTCTCTGCACACGAGATCTTGAAGTCGTTCTTTCACTTAGAATAATCATTTTAAAATTGTAGAATCTGGGATCATTAAGTCGTTCTTCCACTTGAAAGTCTTTGCACATGAAATCTTAAAGTCCTTCTCTGACTTAGAATAATCATTTTAAAATTGCGTGTCCTCAAAATTATTAAATCTCAAAGGACGCAATTTTGAGAGATTTCGACCGTTTCTGTCAAACCTTTCCTTCCTTCGCCGTTTTACTTTTCGTGTTTATCGTATATCGTAATTATTCTCGCAATTTGGCCCAGTTTTTACAACAACAAATGCAAATATCGTGAATTTGTATCCCGAGAACGGGGCTCTTTTGCATACGAACCCGGGCATATTTGCCCCCCCCCCTCCCCCCCCCCGTTTATTTATTCGAATTTTTGTTTTATTTCTCACGTACGTACTTGTTAAGGTAATAAGTCCAACGCAAATTCACGCAATTTTTGCACCCCCTCCGTTCGAACGCTCCCGCCCCGGTATCTATGATATGCATATTTGCAGCTGTGGTTTATCCGGCTACTTCTTTATGCATGCTATACTTTTTGTCCGTTTTTACAGAGCAACACGCGCCCAGTAAATTTCGCAAACTCCGCGCCGGCATATCCGCGTATTTCGTTCCGGATATTTGCCATTTTCATACGTATCTCGCGCTAATTATAATTCGTTGTATCGATTCGTTTTTTATAACATCGGCATACAAACTGTTTGTTCACACAGAAAGAAAGAAGGGACCCCGTAGATATCGATTATAAATTAATTTTACGTTCCATGTAAGTGTTTTTAATTTTTGGTAAAACATTGTTCCCCTAACTCTGACTGTTTTAGCATTTTTAAAGGAACCTCGTGGTTTCAATTTCTCTCTATTACGATATTGCAAAATATATTTCAGAGTTCTGACTTTCGAATCGATAGCAATGATAACACTAAGTAAACTCGTAAAATAATATAACGAAATGTTAAAGTGACACGTTTGGTGGAAGAAACGTTCGCCAAGATGGCGGATTTCTCGATTAAGTCCCCGGTCGCGCCAACATCGTGCAGATGGGGCGTCGATAAAAAAAGAGGGGTCCTGGAAGAAGCTGCGCATTCCCGTTTAAATATTAAACCGTAATACTGTAGAAGGGCTTCCGGTCGTCACGTAGACCGCCAGCTCGCGCCCATGATCCGCGGACGCTGTGCAAACCGCACTGCGCTTCCGGTTAAAAAATTCACGATTCTCCGTGGCTTGTGCACCTCTCGCTTTCGCGGCCTCTCTCACACACACATGCTCACACGTTTCTGCAACGTGTTTGTTCGCCAGCGCGTGGGCGTTCGTGCTCCAACGCGTACATTCCCATCCATAAGTCACCGGACACTTAATGAAATTAGAATGCGGACCGTTCTACCCTACGAAACGACCTATATCGTGAAATCAGAGCTTCGTCCGAATAATAGACGAATAAAAACTCCATTCCGTATTTGTTATTCCGCACGAACTGGGATGTTTTTATTTTATAGAATTATAAAAAATTCACGTCACGATGGCAATCGACCATAGTCAAACGAAACCCAGAATTTTGATTTATAAATTGCAACGAAGTTAGACAAAATAAATATCACGAGAAATTTATAGACAATCGAGTTTCCAATTTTCCGGGAACAAAATTTTAAACCTTCTAAAACCGTTGCTACGAGTTCCCGGGGTGCGTCAATAATATCGTAGGCTCTAAATTGAGTTTACCTTTCGGAAGACTCGGAGCATTTTCGCCTTATAGTTCCGGGCACTTAGCGTCGTTTAAATTTAATTTCGCCGTGCCACTCGAAACGAGAGAAATTGCAAGTAAAACGTTTGAACGCGAGCCGCGCGGGGACGTTCTCTGTTTCTTTATACTCTTCGCGCTACGAGCGGCCGATATTGTGTAACTTTCACGGGACGAGAAGTGGAAGTCGGGACAAATTCCCCGGGAAGTGCCTCCAAATACAAATGTTTTTCACGGCGGAACTTGAAGCATCCTTCGGGGTAAGTTCTAAAACGTCCCTTTTATTGCGGTTCTCTTACGATTCTTTTCCAAACGTTCCGCTGCCGGGGAATACTCCTCCGCGACTACCGCTGAATATTCCCGCCACGAACTGCTTGACTTACACCGTTTGTGAACTCCTTCCATCCCTCTGCGAGTCGTCGCCTAACGTCTTCATGCAAATTTGATTCCGCCAGAACTCTAACGTTTATTCGCCGATGAACTCTCTGGTGGCTATAGAGGAGACGAATTAATTGCGAATTGGGGTTCGAAGATCGCTTTATATCGGTTTTCAGGAAACCAAAATAAGCAAAGAGAATTCTTAGATTCTGTAGATATTTGTTTTGTCTTGAAATTTTTGGCAGGGAAGGGACGAGCGATTTGAACAAAATTTTTATCGAATATTGTAACATAAATGTACTCAAAGGTACCAGAATTTATTTAACTCTTAGTTAAATGTACATTTGGATACCTCTTTGTGGCCCAGAGTTCATTATTTCATCAGAAATAATAATTCAAGTAGTACGTATCGATAACTGAACCGACACTTTCCTGACCAGTCGTTTACCTGTTCTACTTGAATTCGTAGAAACTCGTTGATCTCACATCGAGAGACATTCATACATCCTTCGTACATTATCATTGCACTGAATAATAAACACCCATTAAAATTTAGCACCGAATATCGAATTTTCAATTTCTTCCAAATGCAAGAATTTTTGTTCTCTTTGAAAGGCTGCCACGTAAGAACTAATCGACGAATTCGTCTGAAATTTTTACGTAGCACAGTTTAAGGTTGCCTTAAACGTCGACTATAACAAAAGTTTCACGTTTATGTTTTGGTTGCTCAGGTATCAGATAAACCAGATTCCTGGTACACGGTTTTCGAAAGAATCGTTTTCCAGGGATTCCTTTTACCGCGTTTTACCTCTACCCGTGCGGTTTAAGGAGCCAATCTTTTTTCTCAGACACTCCGTATGGAGTCGGGGAGCAGATAAGGGGGGCCCCCCGACAGCCTTCATTTTTTTCGCGGGCGCAAACGAGCAGATAAGCCCCCGGATAGCGCTCTGGCCGAATGCGGCCCCGGTAAACGACTGTGTTCTTTGTCAATCCGCGCGTGACGGATATTACGGCAGGTGTTTTCGTCTCTGGCGGTCGTTCGGAGATATTGCCCTCATCCCCGGGCTCCGTGCTGGTCCTTAGGGTCCCGTACGGATAATTTATGGGGTCGTCGGCGACGGGGGAACGAGAGACAGGCTCGCGTCACGCGAAAACTCGAGTTACGAGCGCACGATAAAAGCACGATCTAATTGGACGAGCGATAAATTCGGCGAGTGGCTGCGCCTCTTGAACCTTCGAGTGGCTGGGCGACGATATATCGATGTCGGTTCCACTTTTCGACCCACCGTGCGCGAATTACCTGCTACTTCGAAATTTCCACGAGAAAAATACAAACAAACCGAATCACACCCGGGATTACGCAGTTCTGCAAATTTTTTTAGCACGTTGTTCAAACAGGTTCGAATTCTGCTTAAACGGATAAATTTTATAGGATAGTTTATATTACTTAGCTCTGGTTTTGTGAATATCAGGCACGATCTGTATTCGAAATGTGCTCGTTAAAATAAAACGTGGTTTTATTAATCTATTGTGTACGGTTTATGGTTTGCTTTATACATTGTAAAATTCTTAAGCTATAACCATAGGAATTTAATAGTAGGAAATTACCTCGTTTCCAGCAGACATGGCAAACGGACGGTATTTTTGGAAAAATCTCGAGCAGAATTGAATCTCATATTTTCGAAATGAAATAAAAGATGTTTCAAATAGGATCTTCTGTTCGATGTATTCGGTTCCCAGTTAAATTAGCGTGCGCCACGACGATCAATAAATCACGAGAATGCACGACTCAACATATCGGAACGAACATTGACAGACCCAGATTCGGTCATTGTCAGTTACGTGTCGCGTCGTGTTCGATGCAAAACAGGAATTAAAAGCAACAACAAAATTTCCAATATCCATTCGCGTGCTCCCAGCAAACAAATACAAAATCCTCACCTAATTTGAAAAACCAGTCCGCAGAAATATTAAACAGGAAGATAAAGAAATATTCCTGGAGCATATATCGCTCGTCAAGGGGATTAACGAGAGTGACGTTTTAATTAATCCATCCCGGGGGAAAAAAACCTCTGTTTCTATATTCCCGCGGTTCCCTTCGTATTCAAATCTCTGCCCTCGTTAATTGATTCCCGCGAGCTAGGAGAACCCGGGGACTTGACGATTCCATTTATCATCCAACGATAGCCGATTTCTTCTAGAAAATTTTTTCTTTCACTCTCGAATGGGGCGATAATTAATCGATAACAGGTCCGAGAACTTGTTACCCCCCCCCCGGAAACGACGACACAGTCGCTACATTAGCTGGCCTGTCCGGAGGAACAGACTCGGGGACGAAAAAGTTTCCCCCAGACCGTCGTGGCACCGAAAGGGATGCGTTCGAGGACCGATAACGCGCGCCGGATGTCGCTAACCACTTCGCGTGAACTATTGTTCGCCTAACTATCGCGCAGAGACACCAGAACGCCGAGTTTCCAGCGAAAAGAGGCTCGGAGTTTCGGTATCGCGGGCGACGCTGCCCCGACGTCGAAACTCCGACGACCCCGGGGGCCGTGCACGACGCTGGACCTCCATTGTTGTTCCCCGTGCATGGTAAATTAGGTCAACAGATACGTCCAGCGAGCCTGGAACTACGCGTCGAATTTATTTGCGCAGTGGTCCCTCGCTGGTTGACCAAACTTTTCCCTCGACTGGAGACGCCGACTAATTGCCGCCACTTTTTTTCGGTTTAACGTTATTTTTTAGTTGTCTTGCGTTTTAAAACGTAGACTGCAACGTAATAATGGTTGTATTTCTTAGCAGTGGTTACAGATTATATTCGAATGTTAATTTAAAAATATTAATATTTTTATTAGTATGTTTATTCGAATAATAATGTTCTAATAGTTGGATAATTCGGATAGTAATATTTGAAGTTTATTCGTAGCATTAAAATATGCATAAAAGATTCCGGTGTTAAATAATGATCGCCATTGCAGGGTATATTGTCTGGATAGATGTGTCCAGTAAGCGGGTGATGTCGATTTGGGGTGACATTTTTCACGTTAGTCGAATACCACCGGGGATTAGGGTCGTGAGCGGTGAGAAACTGTCGTAGATGGGAAGTTGATCAAGCGTTCGCTTTTTTTCCCATGGTTAAAATTGACGAAGTATTTTCCAATACGCGGACAATTTACAAAATTTATCCTTCCCCGGGTTTTTTTCCTTTCGTAACCTGCCGGAGAAATTGATCGAGGGTTTCCCCATATTCCCGGGCCGCGATCAAATTTATTTTCGAGGTAACAGACTTAAACTCTGACGGTGTACAAGGAGGGGTCGCGTCGTACGTCGGAAATTGGAAATAAAAATTTTTGGAAAACGATCGCGGACAGTCGGTTGCCACGAGCATACTTCTATGTTTATGCCTCGGTAGCCGGCGGGTCGACAGGTAATTTGGATGATCGTTCCCACGAAAGTGCTTTCGTTCAAGATTATCGAATATTGGATTCCAATCTCGATTCGCTTTCCGCGTCTTTATTTCTCGATGAATCAGATATTGAAATGGAATGAAACGGCGAAACCGAGACCGCGGGACCGAATGGACTTTTCGACCGATAAAATTCCACCGGACTTTATTCCATCAACATTCCTCCTACATTATTACGTGCCCCGCAGCTTCGATGCAATTACTCCGCGATTCATTAACTTGGACATTCGCTTCTATCTTTGGAACCTATCAAATTATTGCGGGATCGACAACGCGATACAAAGTTCCAGCAACTCTTGTCGATTCTCTTCCCTGCCCTGCCAGAGGAAAACTAGGTTAATAGGTGGAAATTTAACCGTGCAAAATTTTATATGTTTTTAAAGGGTGAGACCACTCTAAAAACCTGAAATAAAGCGTTTTTTGGGGGGTTTTTTTTTGGATGGATGGAAAAGTAAGAGGATAATAATATTTAAGAATGTTATTTAAGATCTTCGATAACTTAATTTTAACATTATTTATTGACAAATGATTGCCCCATTTTTTGTACAAAATTGAACTTTCTACTTCAAATGCTCGCCAATCACATGGTCAAGTCGTCATTTTCCACTATTTTTGAATAAATATATATATATTTTTAACACATAACAACATGGTTAATAACGATCTTGAATATTATTATCCTCCTACTTTTCCATCAATCATCGAAAGAAAACGCTTTATTTCAGGTTTGTACAGTGATCTTGCCCCTCAATGGAAGAAAAATAAAAATTAACGCCATTTCGACAGTAACTTTCCCGAACGACCGCGATGCTTCGAACAAAGGATTTCGATTTTTCGTTTCAGGTATTGGCTGGATCGCGGCGACTTCAAGATGACCCTTCGGTACATGAACCTTCTGAAGGGGGCGTCGAGATCCATCGCGAGCGATTGGATGAACGAGACGAGGATCCTTTTGGAGACCCAGCAGGCCGTGGACACGCTGTTAGCGTACGCTGGCGCGATCGGCCTCGTGTTCCTCGGTGCTGGAGACTCGAAGGTCAGTCGAAACAATTAGAAAGGGAAGAACGAAAACTGTTCCGACGGTCTGCGAACGTTCGTCGTGCCTGTATCAGCGAAGGAGGCGACACGCGATGCGCCTCCATGGCGAATTCCATTATCGCCAGGTTAGGCTTCCATTGAACGTCGTCGCTCAGTATTGTAATTCTGTGTTCAGCGGGGTGCACGCTTTTAGGTGAATTTGTTACTTCGAGGCGAAGAGGCGAATCGTAATTTTGTCGGTAGTTGGAGGATGTATGCGCGTCATCGGTGAAAGGTAGTCGAAAGCTGTATTTTTTTGGATCATTTATAACGACTGAGATAAATTGCGAAATATAGACAAATATAAATTGACCATGCGTTTTCTATGAATCTCTGTTCACGATCGATGCGCTCTACGTCGCTTTTCTTTCTTTGTCTCTCTTTTTTTCAACCCGATTTATACATCTTCCGCTTTTACAGAGTTTCCACGAACCGCTCGCTAATTGACGCTCCCTTTTGTTTATTCGCTTCGCGACTGCTCAACGGGATGCTTTTACCGACTATTTTCATTTCCGCTTCAGCGTTCCGAGCACAAACACTTCGTAAATTTATATTTATTCCGACCGTCCGTGCGGTGAACTCCTATGCGCGTTCAGGCGAATACGCAGAAAGTACGGGGCACCCAGTTGTACGCACAGGTCACCTGCTGTCCGGGTACTGGCGTCCGAAAAGGTCGCAAATTTAATCTCTTAATCATAATTCTACCGTTCTATGTATATTATTTTAATACTAGTATCGCTGTAATTCGTTCTGAAGAAATTGCTCGAACGAAGATAGTCACGAACAAACCACGAATAAAAATCCTTCCACCATCGATTGATATTCCTTTCGGAATTGACCCTCTGTTGCGTAACCCGCTCGAAATTCGATAAAGATTCTATGTTATCGCTGGAAAAAGATTGGTACAACGTAGGGTTAACGGTAAATGTGATTCGAATCAACCCTCGATTTTTCATTTTTCCGAGGCGTGGCAAAGAAAGACGAAGGAGTGGAAAAAAGTGGCACAAAAAAGTCGAGAACGCGTAGAACGCTCCGTCACGTTCCTCTCGTTGTTGTTCGAACTGTTTCAGTCGGAGCAGAAGTAAAGCTCGCCCCGAAAACGCTGTCCATCGAGATCACGGAAGGCAACGCACTCGAAAAGCACGAGAGGGGACGGGGAACAGACACACGGAACAGAACCACATCCACGTACACACCGCCGGGGCTCGCAGCGTGGCGCAACCGTGAGCGAAAGAAATATGGAAACAGCCCTTGCACAATGGACAATATTTTCTCCCGGCTGACAAAGATAAAAGAGAGGAAAAAAGCAGCGGCGTCGGGAAGAAGAACGACCGAAGTTCGACCTTTCTTTGCCCAGTCGATTTCGATCCTCGATGCTCCGCGGTACGGCGTTTCCACGCGAACTTGGGAGAGCCAGGTCTGGCCCGGATGACGGATGGAAACGTTGTTGCGAAATAATGCAGACCGCGACGCGATTCGCGTGAAATTTCTAAAGGGGGTTGGATCTTGGAGGCAAAACGCGTCGAAAGCGTGGGATAACATTTTTTCCGCGGAGCCTTTGTTTCCGAGAAAAACGAGTCCAAAGATCGTTTGGCGCTCTGACACGGCTGGCGGAGGCCAGTGGTTCTCAATAACAGCGATTGTTGCTTTTCGAGTTTAGTAATCGTCGAATCGTGTTTGCCGAAAGCCGACTCTGTAGATATTTCGTGCATCGAGAGCTTTTATCGTTGCTATAAAAAATCTCCGTCGATGCATACCAAATGTTTAAATTTTAATCGTTAAATCATAATTTTTCTGTGCCTCGACAAGGAGGTCGATATTAGCATTCAAGTATCCACAATGTGTTCGATTACTTTAATGATTATGACACCTCGTAGTAGCTTGAATTGAGAACCGCTGGTGCCCTGTCGAGCTCACGGTACCCAACATTCGCGTTTATTTTCTCGAAACAAGAGACCCGTGTCAGGGAAATATATACTCTACAATTTCGACTTGTTTCAGGACGAAGAATGTGCATACGGGGTGTGTCGTATAAATCTATGCCGTTTAATTCTAGCGAACTTTGGGTATAAACAGATAATTTAAGTAAAAGTCGAAGTGCTTCGGTGAAAAGTTTTCCCCCGGTACCGGCGATCGTTTCGACGATAATTTCGCGGGATTGCTTTCGGGACACCCGGTGTAGGGGGTAGAACGAAAAGCAGTTACGTACGGTATTCTCTCGTTCGCGTAGCTTCATGAAACCGCATACTCTCTGCTCGTTTTGTTCTCCTTCGCGGCCAGATTTTCCAGCCTAATCCTCTTAGCCCGGCCCGGCGCAAAAAAACGAATCCTGAGGATCAGCGTTTACTCTCCACCGCGATTAGAAATATCGCGGCCCGCAGCTCATAACGTGTTTCGAATTTCGGCGAGCTCTGTTTTTCCTATTGTCCAAAGAAACGCGCGTTTTACTCGAAATATTGCACTGCGGCGCGTTTTCGTCGCGATACAGGTATATCGCGTTCGAAATGCGCCAGCGTTCAAAGAGAAACGCTGTAGATGCAGGGTGGAAAAGAAATATTCGAAAATCGTTAACAAATTATCAAGCTCATATATTTTTTCAATATTCCTATGGATTGCATTCAATAAAAAAGGAACAAACTCAAAAGAAACCACTTTTCTCCAACGAACGGTTCTCTCGCAATAGCTTGTCAAAGTTGGCGTGACTTCTGGTGGTGGGGGGCGCACGCCACGCCCCGGAAGCAACTACGCATAGCCTATTTTTATCGCCTTCTCGAGTAGAATTCGTAGGAACAAAAAAATATACGATCTTAATTTTCTCGCTGTTAGTTTCGAACGTTTTACGGGGAACGTCGACGATCGAAAGGCGAATTCGTCGCTGTTCCCGGTGCATTTGTCTCGCGACGAACGTAGCTCCGACGAGCGTTTCAGCGTCTGGTTTCGAGCTAGTTCATGCCGCTTTGCGTTTTTCAAAGTTAATCCGGGTCGCGGGCACCGTCACCTGGGACCCACGCGCGACCTCGTTTCGAGCACGGAGTGCAAGACACTTTCGAAAAAGTTCGTCAGCTTAGCGGAATCCTAACGAACAACCTTCTTGCTCCCAACGCCGACCGTTTACGAACACCGAGGATACGATTTGGTAAAAGTATCGTCTCCGTTCGTCGCGCAGATCTCGCCGGGGACAGCGACGGCGACAAGAAACTCGACGAACGTTACGCGAAAGCGATTTCGTACCCTTGGTCGCGATTCCCGGTTTCATTTTCTATTTAAAGTCTGTTCTATCGGTCCGAAGCGAGCTGTCGTTGCTTTTGGATGAACGTAGCGTCGGGAGAGAAACGACGATCGACTCGTTTCCAAAGTCTGACCACTTGTGGCCCGCTAGCAAATAATAGAGGAATTAAGCAATAAAACGTTTCATCGATGCCGTCTGAACGGAGCTGCAAGTTATTTCCTACCGAGATGGCGAGGACCTCGAGTCCGGAGTTTACGGTGCTGAAACCAATTTTTTCCCCCCTCGAATTCATCCAACTGGAACGTTAGAAATAATTTTTAACCTTTGGTAGAAATGTATGGATAAATATCTCTGCGAATGAGAGGGTTGAATAAATTTGGAAAAAATGTTAGCTCTGGCTCGAAGTCTTCTACAGTCTATTTCATTTGAGCTGTGTCTGCGACGGGGGCATGTTAGAAGGGTCAATAAATATATGTACAAGTTAATATTTATAAATGTATCGTTTCGCAATTATTAATGTGCTTTGTTAATGGGGGACAATAGATCGAGTAAATGTTTAAGGAACAGAATAACGCAACAAGGAGTGGCCAGGCCTACAGTAAGTATGAGTTTCAAGAAGTCTAATTAAATCTGACAGTCATGTTTTTCCAGAATCAATTTTTCTTTCTCCCATGCACTACATTTTGCGGTTGTTTTTCATAAATGGATACATTTTTCTAAGCTTTCCACACATTCACACTTGTCTGACTAAGCGTGGGTGCATTCCACTTGCCTTGAACATTGGTACTTTAGAGAAAATGAAAAACAAGTCCAACGTTGTAATACAAATTTTGTACCATTAATAACGAGTCTGTAAATAGTATAGAGTAGTTATAATTCATTATATTACACAATAATATAATAATTGTTGCTCCAACAATGGGTATCCTTGACTTGGACTAACCACTTACACTTGTCTGACTAATGGTTGATGTGTTCCACTTGCTTTGAACTCTGATACTATAGAGAGCAAGAAAAACTAGTTCCACGTTGAAATAAAAATATTGTACCATTAATAACGAGTCTGTACATAGTATAGAGTAGTTATAATTTATTAGATTACATAACAATATAATAATTGTTGCTCCAACAGTGGGTATCCTTGACTTGGACTAACCACTTACACTTGTCTGACTAATCGTCGATACGTTTCACTTGATTTTTAAATAGTCACCCATAAATACGATACAATGAGTATCTAGAGGTTACTATAGATATTGTTTAATAATTCTACGTGCTTGCAGACCTCACATTTCTGAAACATCTAATTTAATTAATAATTTTTTATTAGATAGAACTATGGTGTATTCCCAATATCGTTTATATTTGTTAATTCCCTAATTGGAACTGTACATGACAAAGAACTATGACAGTTGATTATGACTACTGTTGACAAGTTACGGCATTGATATTTTTCAGGCCTTGGACGTCCTTCCTGGTCGTCCAGTGTTGCGTTAACGAGAGTCGTTGCAGGAAACGACTCGCATTGTTAATCCCTTTTTCTTTCAGTCTGTCTAGGCGCAAGCTCGAGTGCTTGTTTACCCGTGTACCGTAGAGAGTAGCCCCGGTATGCAAAGAAAGAAATTGAAAAGAAAATGTTGGCGACGTTCCCGCGTGTCCTCCACTTAGCGCTCAAGCGGAATACCTTTGGGCCTAAGAGTTTAGACGCTGAGGAAGTGTCTTCGATGAGAGCTTTTGTTTTCAGTGACAAGGTAACTGGTAAGGAACACGAAATATCTTTTTCCATCAGTACGAACGATCAACAGTTTATTTCACCATACTCGACACAAGTAAATAAATTTAAGAGAATAGATATTAAAATAGTAAGTAAACGAACACGATAATTATCAAGCAATTGCAATAGTAGTTTTTACATTGTTTTCACAATTTCGTCGTCCCTTCCTCGCGAAGTCAGTTTCATCTTCGCCCAATTAAAAAATCTGAAACCCTCGGGAACAGGACTCCTTGGAACGCGGCGATAATGTAACAAAGCAATTTGACGCCAACGAGTAGGCACTCGTCGAACTTCTTCGATAGGATTTCTTCCACCCTCGATCGCGAAATCTGCAAGATCGTTTCGGGTGGGGAAAGAAGTTTCGATCATCGTACCAGGAGTACCATTAACGTCCCTTCGATTCCTCGAGATTCTTTTTCTTTTTTTTTTATTATTTCTTTTCAGGCGACGAACGACGCCCCGCTGGCGTTAGATCGCAATCGATGATCGTTTGTGGATCGTCCTGGGGACGCCCGGGGTCGTCGATTGCCGCTCATTAACGACGTTAATGGTACTCCGCAGGAAATAATGCGATTTCCGTGCAGCGAAAGCTTGCACGCGGTCCGCGACGAACACTCTTATTACCGTCGCGCGGATAATAAATCGTTCGGTCGGACTCGTAAAATATATTTTGGAATATCACTCGCAATTTAGGGTAACAAAGTATCCTAAAAACTACTAATGGTATATAATTTTTTTACGCCATCGAATATAATAATAGGCGCGAATTGAGGCAAAAAATTGTTTACGAATCAGTATAGAGTTCTTTCGTATTAATATTAGTGACATTTTTAGTATACTAAGGTGGTGTGTGAAAGTCGAGGCTCGTTTGTAATCTAAACTTTGTTGAACTTCTGGGGGAAAAATGGTACATAAAAGACGAATTTGATGTATTTTAATTGTTTGTTTACACGAAAGAATAATGGAGAATGAGAGGACACGAGCGGGTGAAAGATTGAAATAGTCAGGTGGAATGAAGATAAATGAAGATTAATTTCGTAACGCATGCAGATTG